TGCTCCAACAATTCCAAAAATAAATGGACTTGTTCGTTTTGTAATTTCAATTTTTTCTACTACATTAATAGTCATATATGGATTTTCACTATTAATTTCTTTAAGTATTTTATTTTTAGTATGTTCAAATAATTCTATTTCATGTTCAAATTTTCTTTTTTTACTATTATATATATTCTCATAATATTTTTGATTCTTTGCTAATATTAAATTGGTAATTTTTGTTCGAATAGTATTTGTAATTGGTAAATTAAAATTACTAATAATTTCATCTAATTCTATTTTATTTAATTTATCCATTTTTCTTTTATTCAAAATATCAAACTCAAGTTCATTTAAAAAATATCCATATAATTTAAATCTACCATGAATAGATTCAATATCATCAAATCTGGAATTAAAAGAAAACTTTTGATTCAATTTATTACTAATCACATCTTCATTTTTTTTAGAAGTTTTTTCACAAGTAATGTATTCATTATTAAGTTTGTAAATACAAAATTCTGGTTTATCTGAATAAATTATATGAAAAAAAACTATATGTAATTTATTATTTTCAATAATTTCTGTTGATGGTGAATCAGGCATATCAATTTCCTCAGATACAAATGTAAATCCAGACATTTTAATTTAAATTTAAAAAAATTAAAAAAATGATATTAATTCATTAAAGAAAAAAATATGAATATTTATATATATAAATTATTATTAATTATTATCTCTATTTGTAAGGATGATGATTCTCAATATTATTAAAAGTAATAACCTGTTTACTCACATGATCACAATTAATACTAAAACCAGAATAATTTAAAGAAAAATTAGTAATATCATTATTTTCAATTTGTACACTACCATTACTATTAATATTCTCTATAATTTCATTATTTAATTTTTTAAATAAACCATACAATTCTTTATGTGTACATAAATGAATTTTACCATTACAATTTTTAGCTTCTATTAATTAAAAAAAAATATATTAATAAATAATTTTTAATTAATATTATTATTTCAATTGAAAACTTACCAATTTATATTTAATAAATTAAAATAATTAAATTAGTAAT